CGCCGTCCCACGGCGGTGAGAGCGGCAGATCAAATTGCGAGGACAGAGAGAAACAAGAAGAAGATGGTAAAACTAACGGTGCCCGCCGCCGCACTAAGCTTTGTGCTAGAGGCCATTGGAGACCGGCGGAGGATGCTAAGCTCAAAGAGCTTGTCGCCCATTATGGCCCCCAAAATTGGAACATGATCGCCGAGAATCTCCGTGGTAGATCAGGTATGTTCGAGGGAATTTTGTTGAGGTTTTGAGTATTTTCTTCAAAGATTATGACTTTTTTTTTGTGGGTGTGAAGGGAAAAGCTGTAGATTGAGATGGTTCAACCAGTTGGATCCAAGGATAAACAGAAAGGCCTTCAACGAGGAAGAAGAAGAGAGGCTCTTAACAGCACATAGATTGTACGGCAACAAATGGGCCATGATCGCTCGTTTGTTTCCTGGTAGAACTGATAATGCTGTCAAGAATCATTGGCACGTGATCATGGCTAGGAAACGTCGACAATACTCCAATCTTTACAGAAGATCCTCCCGGAAAGCCTTCCATAAACATAATGTGTCCAGTGAATCCACCATCTCCAGCACCGTCGATGAATCCCCTGCCTCTGCCTCTGCCTCTGCCTCTGCCTCTGCCTCTGCCCCTGCCCCTGCCCCTGCCCCTAGTAAGTTCATAAAGTGATGATTTTTATATTGTTTTTAAGCTCAGAGTTGAGATTTGAAGTTTGAATATTTCATGGATTGTAGGATGGTGCAGCAGGAAAGGAGTGGCGGCGGATGTGGGGAAGATCGGGTGCTGGGAAAAAACAGAGGAGGTGATGGCGGCGGAGCAGTCGTCGGGGTCGAACTCGGAAGTTTCAGGGGCGGAGTCAGAGATCTCGACGAACCTCTCCTTAGCATCTGGCCGGGAAAGCATGAATGGGAACGGCGCTCACCATATGAAAATGCAGTTCATTGATTTCCTTGGAGTTGGAGCTGCGTAACTTTACTCCTCTGTTTCTCTGTTTCCTTTATGAAAAGCAGAGTCTAAATGTAAACAAAACAATCTCCGTTGTTTCTCTCTACAATGTACAGTGAGGCATGGCAGAGAATGATGAGAGAAAGCCAAAAAGATATTAAAAAAAAAAAAAATGAAGATTTTGGAGTTTCTTTTGGAAATGGGTTGTTAAAGAGATTAGGGGTTTTGTAGATGAAGAGCTTCTACTTATGCTTCTGCAATTAATGTTCACAAATGCTCTTCCTCTACCACATACTGTCTTTAATGAACCCATTTCAAATTATTGTACCCACCTGACCCTTCAAGTGTTTTTCGATTTGTTTTAGCACGTGCCACAATTTGAACTTTCAATCTTAAAAGACGAATATCAAGAGGTATAATAGCTAACGAAAGCTATCTACTTCTTTTGAAAGTCGAGTCTTGGGAGCTATAGCAATGGATTAAGGTTAGTCGAGGCCGCCATGGTTGATCGAGCTAAAGCTTGAAAACTTACATACTCTTCTTAGTTTCATTTGTTTGTCAGATATGAGAATGTATGAGTTTCTCACGGGGTATGTTTTCATTTTTTCGCTTTAAGTGATAAAAGTATGCATATGGTAACGACGAGCTCAGATTAGTTTAAGTGTAATAGTTTAAGCCCACTACTAACATATATTGTCCGTTTTGATCCGTTACGTATTGTCATCAGTCTCACGGTTTTAAAACGCACTTACTAGCATATTATAAGTTTCACGTTTTTGGCCCGAGTGAGACCTCACACCGGGGTTTTAGAAAGTCGAATCGTTATCATTAAAAATTCACTCTTGTCCTAAGCAAGGCTTTGTGTTGAATTACTACCATGCACCCCAATTCCTTTCTCTCAACATTGGTATCAGGGTTAAGTACCGGTCGATGTGCGAGCGAAGAAGTTAAGCCTCCAAGGGGTTTGGACACGAGATGGTGTGCCAGCAAGGACGCTGGCCTCTGAAGAAAGTGGATTAGGGTGTCTCACGTCAATTGGAGAAGTAAACGACTGGTCCCGAAGGGGGTGGGGATTGTGATCAAGTTTGACGTTCCGTCAAGCGGCGGCCACCATTGGATGTAGGTGACGGTGGGGTAGGCATTGTCGTTCACCTGATTTCAGCCATGCAGAAAATGAAACTAGGGTTCCTGGGAGCATGAGGTTACGCGAGGAAGAAACGGTCCAGTTCGGTTCGCAGTTGGCTTAGTGATTTGCAGTCTGATTTAGGTGAAAATGGGAGCCCATGAAAGGGATAAGAACGTGGTCATGGGCCAATATTTGGTCTCTTAGACCCTTCAAAGCCCAAAACCAGCCCAATTAACGCATCTAGAGCCCACATAAATGCTTTCAAGGCCCATGCCCAACAAAGTCCAAAATCATATAAACTAATTTAGAAATTAATAAATAGATTTTAAAAAATTGAGTATTTTTGTTGGAATTATTCCAAATCACCTCCTTGAACAAGGTCACTATTCTCGGTAATACACCGCTCGATTTGTAACAGCTCAAGCCCACCACCAATAGACATTATTCACTTTGGCCCATTACGCATCGTCGTCAGCTTCACAGTTTTAAAACGCACATGATAGAGAGAGATTTACACACTCTTACAAGGAATACTTAGTTCGAGGTTTGTTTGAGGTTTAACCAAAACAGTAAAAAAATAGAAAATCTAAAAACAAAACATCATGAACAAACATCCGTCAGATAGAGAATGGTTGTATTTGTCGGTAGGCAAAGTCCAAGGTGGTTGCATCGTTTTTTGAAGCTTCCCTAATCCATTGCCATGCAGTTTTTCATCAACTTCCAACATTATTTATATTCTCTCTCTTTAATCGAAATATTCCAATTTAATAATATGATATGATGTTATATTGTTTATTTTATGTATGAGTGGATACTATTTTTTTAATTACATCATAAACATTAATAGAAATGGATGGATGAAATATATAGTTCATAGAAAGATGGAAGCATTTGGATGATTGTCTCAATATTGAAAAGAGGAAGATTCATGATGTATGAGTGAATCACAACATTTTTATTGGTATTAGATTTTTCTTTTCTAAAACCAAAACTATGTTCATATCAACTTTAATTTAAAGTAAACGATGTTTTCTCGATCTACAAATATAAAGATTTTTACGTTTTTTTATTGAACAAATGGTTTATAGTCATGTCATGAACTCGAAACCATGGTGGGATACCCACTGTAGACCCTCGTCTATGCAATAGTTAGCTTTGGATATTAGGAGCATAACACTTGGAGGGAGGTATCGAAAGGATTTGAACGCGTGGGACACTCGCCCTTTTCATGGTTATCTAGGTACCCGATAATATACTAGAATTGCCCTGAAGACCAGAAGGTGAGATGTGTAGTAGACGAGCTTAGAGATGATGCACATTTTGTTGTCGGAGTTCTTGGAGAAGTTCGTTGACACTAATAATGGGCTAGTCCTTTAGTCGCAATTTAAGGGAAGGCCAATTTAGTCGGCACTAAGGTCAAGAAGATTGAACGTTTCATCATCGCTTTGAGAGACAATGTTCACAAGGCTAGTCTTTTCTCTTCATATTGTGCCATAGGCGTGGAGTAATCCTAGAGCACACAAGTAGGCGAACTAATGTTTTTCTTTTAAGCTTGAAATTCAAACCTTTGAACTAAGTTCACATTGATTATGCATTTAATGACAATGACTCACGATAGTTACAACAATTGAATAATCTTTCTAAAAGAAACACTTTATCTACGTGTGTAACAGTAGAATTGAGTTAGCCAAGTAACCGTTAATCGTTATACGTTATAAATTTTAATTCCGAGATAAAAGCTTTTGCATGCCGGAAACTAAGAAAGTAGGCATAAGCTTTTGCAAAAAATGGTACCATTCCTTTCATGAAAAGAGTTGTTTTAGGGTTTTGAAAGAAGGGAAGGAATGGTGTCCCATAACATAAGCATAGCAACCAAAAGAGAGAGACATATTTATGTATATAAATAACGAAATGGGTATGGTAGCTATAAAGCTTTATCATAAAGTTATGTTCTTTTAGATCCAATTTCCCGGAGAACATTAAAAAAACAAGAAACCAAACCAAACCAAACACTAAAAAGCTTACAAAAAAAAAAAAAAAAAAAAAC